CCTCCAGAATGGAACGCTAAGCAACTGATTCTTGCCCAACTGACTTTCAGGAGGCCGAGGGGACGTCCAAGATTAACCTTGTGCAAATATATTGAAGGAGTCTGTTTTTGACTCCAGTTGCCTTCTGTCAAAACTCAGACTCTGGCACAGGATTGGGAACGCTAAAAGCACTGTCTCACGCGTCTGTTTCAGCAAAACAAAAGGAAAAGCGGTGATGGAAAGTGATGAAGTGAAGTGGAATGAAGTAAGATGAATTTACGTTTACATCTTGGATTGAACGTATGTTCGCTTCCCAGGGGGACAAGGCAAAATTGCTGCCCCAACGGACCCAGCATGAGCCAAAGTGACCGTAAGTCTGGCACCCTTTGGGATGGCAACACCGAAGCTTGACACTGTCACCATTATTTGCACGACCGTGACCTGATACCAGTTTTTTGACTGACTGCACCGAAGCACAATGGGATGAATTCCTTGTTCAATTGAAACAGCAATTAATAAGGGAAACTTTACGCCGCGCATTGAACCTGTACTCGAATGCAAACACTAATGCATACTAGATTTATTCGATCCAGAGTCAAGTAATGGTCGCCTAAAAGCGGTTATGAGGAAATGTCCACCACCCATTCAGATATTCTCATCATCTCAATGAATTTCCTGTAACTTAAATAATCTAAATTTCCTTATTCGACATAATGTTAACAATGCACGAAATAAAGGGGCAACTTCAGACCTTGTCTTCATGCCATACTAATTAATGTAAGAACTTTTAGGAAACAACTACTCTGCTGCTGCCCACTTCCGGCTGATTAAGCCCTTTGCCAAAGCACAAACGATTGGCGGGTTGGTTTCATCTGCCCGGACAGAAGAAACTTCCACAACCAAACATGTGATTCCAGATCAGCATCGACCAAGCATGGTTAATGAATCGCAGCGGTCTTCGAACGCCAAGGAACGAATTGTTCATCTTGATTTAAAGGGTGCACCTCCAAAACTGGCGTACTTTGAAGAGTTCTTCAAAATTGCTCAGAAAGCTGGCGCCACCGGTGTACTTATCGAGTGGGAGGACATGTTCCCGTTTAGCGGAAAACTTTCGATCGCTCGCAACCGCCAATCATATTCGGTGTCGGATGTGCAACAGATCATTCGCTGGGCTACCAAGTATCAACTGCAGGTTATTCCTTTAGCTCAAACAGCCGGTCACATGGGGTGGATTTTAAAGCAACCAGATTTTGCTGATTTGAGAGAAGTGAAGGACGACAAGCACATCATCTGTTTGACAGATCCCAAAGGTCTGGATATTGTGAAAGACGTGATTGACCAAATGATGAAGCTTCACAGTCCTTATACGCGGTATTTCCATATAGGAGCGGACGAAGTTCGTAAGGTAAGTCCTAAAAATGACGCAGTGATGAAATTTGCGCTAGCTTTCCAAAATTTCTGCATTACTTCGAGTTTATAATAAATTATGCAACAATTGTTTATGGACATTTTTGCCAGATCTTGTTTAAAAAATGAAAGTCTGAAACCTTATAATGTTGTGCATCTTTACACTTCAGAAAGGAAGGCTAAGCAACTGTTCCTTGCAAATCCGACCGGCAAAGGGCCCAGGGGACGGCCAAGATT